GAGAAGGGGGGAGATGGGGCTGCGGCGGGGCCATCCCCCCTTGGGGGGGGGTGATTTCTCGCTTTCTGTCTCTCTGTCTCTCTCTGTCTGTCTGGCGAGCGCATGCGCCCTATAGCAAAAACCTCTCAAAAAAAAAAAAGCCCTATCTGATACAACACCTAAGACCCAAATTGTTTGGTCCTCATTCCGTAAGACAGACAGAAATCCAAGTTTCTTTTTTTCTAAGGATTGAGATTTAAAAAATAAAACAAAACAAAACAAAACAAATGACTATTTTACTTAACTTTTTTACTTATTTAAATTTGACCAGAGAGGAACAGAGAGAGTGAGAGCAAGCCAGCCGTCAGGTCCAGTACTTGGATCACGTGCAAGTCCAATGCCCTTAACCAACACACCATTTGCCCCCCCCCACCCCCTTTTTTTTAAGAGAGAGAGGGGCCGGCAGGTAACGGTGTCCTATCTTCTCCAGGAAGCCACTTCCGGGCAGGTAAAATCCAAGGCCCTCCGAGGGCCTGTTCAAATATCCCTCTCCCCTTTCTAGAATCTTCAGTTTCCAAGTGATGACTGCAAAGGATACCAGATTCTCTGCTTCCATGAAGGTCTAACAGTAGGACAGAAAGGAACAACTTAACTAGTTTTATGAAATAAAATGTAGAATTTGAGAATCTTCCCACTTTCTTTTATGTTTTAGCTATAGGGCTTGAGCACTTGCTGAAGAGGAAAAGAGAGAGTACCCTCTGGGGGAATTGTCATCCTGTAATCCCTTCTCCTTTCTCCTCTCGAAAATTTTGGGCATGCACACTCACATACCTAGTGTGATTTTCAAGCCATCTCGTTGAGACTCAACTGTTCAGACAAGTCACATTAACAACCATGTCACTGTTTTCTTAACTTTTCCTATAATCAGATCTCTTTAGAACTGATTTTTTAAAAAATTATTATTTTTTAATTTGCTATAGGGCATGTGCACTTGACAGAGACAAAGTGAGAAAGAGAGCGCCATGCCTGGGACTCGAACCATGGTCGGCCATGTAGGAGTTCAGCACCTTAACCACCACGCAACCTGCTGACCAATAACTAATTTTTTAAAAAATTATTTTATTTCTCTTTACTTACTTATTTAAATTTGACCAGAGAGGGACAGAGCAAGAGAGAGAGATGGAAACTGAGAAAGCAAGCCGCTAGGTCCAGTACTTGAACTGCAATCAGCCAAGTGGGAAGCCAGCACTCTTAATCATCATGCCACCTGCTGACCCCAGAACTGATTTTTTTTTAAAAATAATTATTTTATTTAACTTTATTTATTTATTTTTTTAAATTGACCAGAGAGGGGAAGAGCAAGAGAGAGGGAGGGAAAGTGAGAAAGCAAGCTACCAGGTCCAGGATTCGAACCACGGTCAGCCATATGGAAGTCCAGCACCCTTAACCACTATGCCATGTGTTGGCCCCAGAACTGATTTTTAAGAACCAAAAAAAATTGATGGCTTAGAGTTTTTACCTACTGGAACCAGCAGGTGACATAATGGTTACATCACTGGACTCTCATATAGTCAACCATGGTTCAAGTACCAGACACGGTGGCTTAAGACTCATGCTGAGCGCGTGTGCGTGTGTGCCCAAAATCCCAAGAGGAGAGTGGAAAAGGGATCATGGCATAGCCAACCTCCTGGGAGGGGTGATTTTTGGCTTCTGTTTCTCTGTTGAGAGCACCTGCCCTATAGCAAAAAACTCTAAAAAAAAAAAAAAAGTTTACCTTCTAAGTCACTAGTTCTGTCATTTAAAAAAATAATCATGGGGGCAAAAAACTCTCGTAATGGCTATGTCGCTGGACTCCCACGTAGCCGACCGCGGTTCGTGGAGGAGAAGGGATTGTGGCGTGACCATCCCCCCTGGGGGGTGATTTCTCGCTTTCTGTCTCTCTGTCTCTGTCTGTCTGTCTGGCGAGTGCACACGCCCTATAGCGAAAAACCTCTCCAAAAAAAAAAAAATCATATACTACTTTGAAAAATCACACACAGAAAGAATAACTCCAATAGAGAACTCCTAGCTACTCATTCTGAAACAACTGGAAATAATAAAAAAAAAAGTCCAATCTCATCCTGTCTTTGAACACTCGTAAAGCCACTGCCACTGCGTAGGACAGACATCCAGGTGGATGGTGTTGCTGCAGGTCTGACCAGCACAGCATGGAGCCGACCAAAGAGCCGAGTCTCCAGGATCTCCAATGCTGAGCTCCTTGGGTCAGCTGAGCCCCAGCACAGCTCCACGAAGCACAGGTGACAGTGCCCCAAACCAGCAGTGTTTTTGTCTTACTGATGGGGACCAAAGAAAGATGTTATCTTAGAGGCCAGCTCTTAAAGGCAGATCTGGATTTAATAAAAATGTAAATGATAAGGTATCAATATTACTCTTCCATTTTTATAAAGATACAAGCAAGGAACTGAGGAATGAGTCAAAAAGTTGATAATGGCAGATTATATTAAAATTCTTTTTAAGGCTGAGATAGAAAAGCATGATACATCCTACATTTAGATGTAAATAAAGGGAAACTAAGAAATTAGACCTTACGTGGTCTCTAGGATATCAAAACTAATCATGGCAATGAGGGTTCCTATGCCAATGTCATGTTCCTACCCTTACACTCCTTTGCTGGGGGGCTACCACATAGTACTACAGACAGAGATGATCGACTTTTTTTGGAGGTTTTTTCTTCTTTTTTTTTTCTTTTTAATTGCAAAAGGGCATGCACACTGGCCAGAAAGACAAAGAGAGAGAGGGAAAGACAGAAACCGAGAAATCACCCCCCATGGAGGACGGCAACACTGCAATCCCTTCTCCTCCATTATCCTCTTGGGATTCCGGGCACACATACACATGCACCTGGCGTGAGTTTAAGCCACCAGGTCTGGGACTCAAACTGCAATTAACTACATGGGAGTCCAGCCACATAGCCATTACGCCAACTGCCGGTCCCAGATGATCAACATTTCAAATGAACCTAAGTGGTAAAATCCACACTTCCTAGTAACAGTCTTTCAACATGATCATACCAGGAATCTGGAATTCTGACAATACAGAAGTCACAATGCCAATCTGAAATGCTGCCTAAGTATTCCATGGCCTTAAACAGAAATGATATGACTCAGCCCCATCAGTCTTGTTTATAAAACCCACTTCCCAAGCTTCCCTCGTTGCCAGAATTGAGACCACATGAAGACCAGAACGGCATCATTAGCTTCCTGTACCCCCAGAAAAAAGCTCTACAAAGCACAGTTAATCGTATGTACGCAGTCAAGTCCTATAGGTAATGGGGCTTCCCACAGAGCTGGTCTGCCAATCCTTCCAAACAGCTGGGTTTCCAGCTCTGTCCTACGGTTGTGTCTTGGGCCTCAGAAGTCAATCAGGACAAATCTAGGTGTTTTTTTTTTGAGAGGTGTTTGCTATAGGGTGTGTGTGCTCGCCAGAAAGACAGAGAGAGACAGAGAGACAGAAAGTGAGAAATCACTCCCCAGGGAGGATGGCCACGCCGCAATTCCTTCTCCTCCATTCTCCACTTGGAATCTTGGGCACGCATGCAGGCATGCACACTCACCCGGCATGAGTTCTAAGTCACCAGGTCCGAGACTCCAACCACGGTCGACTACATGGGAGTCCAGTGACATAGCCATTATGCCAACTGCTGGTCCCCAAATAGTTTTAAAGCGCCCTCAGGAGATGCTCTCCAGATGAGAGAATAATTTTGTCAGCATAAGAACATGGGATTAAAAATAAAATAAGGAAAAAAAATTTAATTTTAAAAAAAGCTCTTAGCCCAAACTTTTATCTATTAAACCTGATTAAATATAACAGACCAAACATGATCTTTTAATACTTGACTTGAAGAGACAGCATCAAACGAACAGGGGATAAAAACAACCAATCAGGGCTGAAGCCGCTGATATGGGTTCCGAGGTGGCAGCCACCCCTCCCAGGGTCCCATCCTCAGTCCACACGTAGCTCCAGTAAGCACCAGGGCGAGCCCTCACACCTATTATACTTACGATCTTGCAGGTCAGCCTTCTTTTCTTCCTCTTGTCACATGTCTGGTACCCCAGTTTCCTTATTTTTATCCTAATTCCAGAACCAGGTCCTAAGAACTTTTAGAGGAATTGACCACATTCTTTGCTTTACCGGTGTACAAACTTTCGCCTGCTGCTTTAAATCCCTTTAGCAAATACTCCAGGCAGCAAGTATGACTAACAGTACAGAAGATGAGGACAAACGCTAGATCATGGAGCCTTAAGAAAAGCAACTTCAAGCTATTCATACACAGTATGTCCACAAGTTATGCAGAAAACCCTGCTACGTAAGAGCACCTTTCACGGCCCTGAAATCCATCCAGTCTACTAATGCCGGCTTGATACAAAGCTCTCTTGTACAAGTGTCCCTTCCCTTTATTAAAACATTGGGATCAATTTGCTTTCTGATAGAACTGCTTAACTTTGGGGTATCGTCTCCCTTCATATGTCTCAGTTTCTCTTGCCCCAATTTTCCCTGATGCTCCAGGAAGGTTGATATTGTAATCTGCAGTGACGTAAGGAATTGTCCCTTCAAGCCCACGCTGAAATGGAAACACAAAGAGAATACATGAAAATCCTTTCAGACTCAGCCTAGAAGAGTCTACAGTTTTATTATTCACCCAGAGACAGGGTTAAAATGGAAGAATGGGAGGAAGGATCTGTCACTTTTAAGGTATGTGGTTCCCTTCCCTCAAAGGGTCCCTTTAAAGCAACTGATCCATTACAAATGGGCCTGTGCTTCTGTCAGTGCAATTCTGCTCACACATACATCAAACACCGTGACAGTAAGTGTGGGGTGTGTACCAAGACTAGCTGGTCAGAAGGGTAGGAGCATCTGCTGGCTCCCCAGTTCACCTGTAGCCCCTGTGGCTGGATTTGGGGTCACACAGATGCCCTTGGCCAGCATGACCTGCTCAAGGGTGAATTTGAAGATTCAAAAAAGGATGACCCCGGGGAGGCTTCTGTTCTCTCTGAAACGACATAATCCTGTGGAGATGGCTCTACCACAGTGCTCTCAACTGTGAGTGGTGGAGCTCATGACCCTGGGTCTCTGAGGCGCCCTGCCACTTATCTTGACGCACGCAGGCTCTAGTATCTAGTGTACGTTTCCCAGACAGACCACAGGCCCCTGAGACTCTTGCCCTAAATTCGGCCCCTCACTTTCTGTGGACAAAGCCATGCTCCCTCCAGGGCTGTCTCTGGGTCAGGCTCACCTGGTTCTTCAAGATGCGCTGTGGAATGGAAATAGCTCCAACAAGCAGACAGTTCACAGTTCTTAAATCCTCTGGGGGCACAGGGGTAATGATGTGGTACAGACGTTTCTCCATGTCAACACCTCTACAGATTCCTTTAAGAAACATTTACAATACAAAAATCATCCTTTCTAGAAGACATCAATCCTTTCCAATTCTAGGATTCTAAAATGGCTTTGAAAATAACGAGTTTTGGGCTGGCTCTGTGGCCCATGGATGACCACACTTGAACCCAGTAGCTTGAAAAACATGCCGGGTGTATATGGGTGCATGCCCCAAATCCCAAAAGATGGAGACACGGAGAAGGGATTATGGTGGGACCATTCCCATAGGAGGTGCTTTCTGCTTTCCCTCTCCCTCTGTGGAAAGCACGCGCACACACACATAGTTTTAATTTCAACTCCATTCTGCTTTGAAAATACTAAGTACGCAGAGCTGGAATGCCTGAAAAATTCAGAAGACCCTTTTTCATACTTTCTTCTTATTCAGCTATGAAGAACAAAAACAATCTACAAGAAAGAGTCCTAGACTGCTTCAATCAAAGTGAGCATAGGCCAGAGAGAAGACCCACCACTGAGGGGTATAAAGATGATGACTCAGTCTTTTCCCTTGTATGGGCTGCACTAACTGGCACGCTTTGAGAAGTACAGTGCTATGAAAATCTGAACTATGCGTGTAATTATTCAAGGATTTTGCTACTTGGGGGTTAGTTAGTTCCAGTACCCTTACAAAATGCTACCCTGACCTTTCCTGACCTCAGTGAGCCATAGGGACAGCCATGATGAAGGAGCTGAGACCCACTCCCGCTGGCCCCAACGAGTCTGTTTCTCTGCGTGGGAAGCATCACGTCGATGTGATTATGCTGCACTCAGGTTACGCTGTTTTGTAATTTGCTTCAGGGTACACACGCTTGCAGGGGAGACACAGAAAGAGAGGCAGCGTGAACAAGCACCCCTCAGGAGGGTGCCATGCCACAATCCCTTCTCCTTCAGTCTCCTCTTTGGCCTTTGGGCATACGTGTACATGTGCCCGCTATATTTTTTTAAGCCACCAGGTCCAGGACTTGGACTATACACTTTGACATGTGGGATCCAGCCGCCTAAACCACTGACTAGCCCTCAGGTCACCCTTGATGACAGGGATGAATTTTTGAGTGGATTTTGTTTGTTTGTTTGATTTAGGGCATATGTGCTCACTGGAGAGAGAGATCACCCCCCAGTGGAGATGGCTACACCACAATCCTTTCTCTTCCAGCCTCCTCTCAGGATTTCGGGCACACATGCACACATGTCTGGCATAATTTTCAAGACATCTGGTCCAGGAATCACACTACAAAGCTGGACATGTGGGATCCAGCTGCCTTAACCTCCATATCACCTACTGGCCCTTGAGTAGAATTTTTTGTTTAAAGAATTCTTTTTAAATTTTATTTATTTATTTATTTTAATTTGACCACAGAGGGACAGAGAGAGAGAGAGAAAAAATGAGAAAGCAAGCCACTAGGTCCGGGACTCGAACTGCAGTTAGCCATGGGAGAGTCCAGTGCCTTTAACCACCACACTACCTGCTGGCCCCTCTTGAGTGCAATTTTAAGTGGAAGAGCAGAGATTACAGTTAGTAAGCTTTCACAGTAGCCCAGTTGGAAAGTGACGGTGAGAAGAGGAAGAACCATGGGACCAACAGTTAGTGTAATGGCTATGTTGCTGGACTCCCATGTAGTCAACTGCGGTTCAAGTCCTGGACCCGGCAGCTTAAACTCATGCCAGGCACGTGTGCGTGCATACCCAAGATCCCAAGAGGAGAATGGAGGAGAAGGGATTGTGGCATGGCCATCCCCCCTGGGGGGTGATTTCTCGCTTTCTGTCTCTTTGTCTCTGTCTTTCTGGTGAACGCACACACCCTATAGCAAAAAACCTCTCCCAAAAAAAAAAGAAAAAAAAAGAGGAGGAAGAACATGAAATATTTTGAAAAGATAAGCTACCAGATAGTAACACTGAATGTGCCCAGTTAAGGTCAGGGTAGCCAAGGAAGAAACAAGGGCTCTGACCTGAACATAAGAGAGAAATCTTTGAAGGCACAAGACAAAATCCTAGAGAATGGGGAGATGGGGAGATGGTGCAGGTTAGCAGGAGGGATTGGTGAAAGGACTATTAAGGCATTGGTTTGGGGCATATATCTAAGATGCCAGTGAGACACCCAAAAGATGTCCACTGGCAACATGGATTCAGAAGGCAGATGAGGGCCAGCAGCTAGCATGGTGGTTTAGATGTTGGACTAGCATGTCTACAGCCATACCACCCTGAATGTGCCCAATTTCCCCTGATCTTGGAAGCTAAGCAGGGTCGGTCGGGCCTGGTTAGTATTTGGATGGAAGATGTTGGATTCCCACATGGCTAACCACAGGTTGAGTCCCGGGCCCGGTGGCTTGAAAAATCACACCAGGCCCTTGTGTGTACATGCCCAAAATTTCAAGAGGAGAATGGAGAAAGCATTACGGTGTCATCATTCTCCCTGGGGAGTAATTTCTCACTTTCCCTGTATCTGTCTCTCTAATGAGCACATGTGCCCTACAACAGAAACCTAAATAAATAAGGAAGACAGATGCATGGATAGGCTGAAGGAATACTATGGGAACAGTCAGCCTAAAGGACTTAAAGTCCCAGCACAGGATAAGACAGTCTATGCGAAAAAGTAAGAGGGCCAGGGTGAGGCCCTTGGGATTCCTAGAGGCAGAGGAGCTGGCAGGAGAAGCAGAAGAAAAACCAGTTCCTTCCTGGCCTCTAGCCCTGTGGCTCACTGTGTAGGAGAGTGAACAGCTCTCTGATCATGCTAGCTAAGAGGTAGCTACCAGGCCAAGACCAGTCATCTACAGCTGAAGAAGGGACCTAGTGGGATTACAGATGTATTTTACTCTCATACTCACCAAACCCTAAACAATCGCAGATTGGAGTCTGGGCAAGCAGGATGGGCCCATTTGTGTATCCCTTGACGTCATCCAGGATCTTGCAAAGGCCAACCCAACTGGCATTCACAGCATACAGTATATGGGTAGGAGCAACATCGGCATGAGTAATCCGCAATGCAACGGCATTAAAAGGTACCTGAAAAACAAAAATAGATGCGCCTGCCTCTATCAATTTCTACTTCGAAAGAGTAATTTTAATTTCTTAAGTATTTATTTATTTAATTCCATTTGTTATTATTATTTTTTAATTTAACCAGAGAGAGACAGAGAGAGAGAGAGGGAAAGGGAGAAAGCAAGCCACCAGGTCCGGGACTTGAACCACAGTCAGCCATATGGGAAAGGAATCCAGCACCCTTAACCACCATGCCACCTGCTGGTCCAAGACTACTTTTAATTTTTAAAAGTTGACAAGCCAGCTATCTAAAGGTAGGTCTGGGGCCAGCAAGTGGCATGACGGTTAAAGGCATTGGACTCCCACACGGCCAACAACAGTTCAAGTCCCAGACCTGGTGGCTTGCTTTCTCACTTTCACTCTTTCTTCTCTTGCTCTCTCACTGTTCAAATTAAAATAAGTAAATAAATAAAAATAAAGTTAAATAAAATAATTTTTTACAAACACAAAAATAGAAACCAGCAGTTGGTGTAATGGCTATGTCGCTGGACTCCCATGTAGTCGACCACAGCTCGAGTTCTGGACCTGGTGCTTAAACTCATGCCGAGTGCGTGTGCATGTGTACTTATGATCCAGAGAGGAAAATATGGGGCCAGCCGGTGGCATGGTGTTTAAGGAGCTGGACATACCCACATGGTCTACCACAGTTCGAGTCCTAGACTTGGTGGCTTGCTCTCGCACTTTCCTTCTCTCAGTGTATCTGTCTTTCTCTGGTCAAGTTAAGATAAATGAATGAATAACTTAAAAAAAAAAACAAAAGAGAGAGAGAAAATAGAGAAGGGCTTGTGGAGTGCCTCCTGGAGGATGATTTCTCACTTTCTGTCTCTCTCTGTCTTTCTGGCAAGCACATGCGCCTATAGCAAAAACCTGTCAATAATAATAATAATAATGTAAAAACATAATAAAAAAGGGAACCAGCAGTTAACGTAATGGCTATGTCGCTGGACTCCCACGTAGTTGACCACGGTTCACATCCCGAACCCAGTGGCTTAAAACACGCCGGGCGCGTGTGCGTGTGTGCCCAAGATCCCGAGAGGAGAATGGAGGAGAAGGGATTGTGGCGTGGCCATCCCTCCTGGAGGATGATTTCTCACTTTCTGTCTCTCTGTCTCTCTCAGTCTGTCTGGCGAGCGCACACGCCCTATAGCAAAAAAACCTCTCAAAAAAAAATAATAAATAAAAAAAAATCAAAGCACTGAGAAAAGGGCTCTATTCATTTCCTAATGTAACACAGTGGATTAAGAAAAACGGATCATATTCATGGGACAAAAGATAAAATACCAAAATATTACTGTTTGGGTAATTACAATTTTTAAAAAAACTTTTTAAGGTTTTTGTTATAGGGTACATGTATTTGCTGAAGAGAAACAGAAAGAAGGAAAGTGAGAAATTATTCCCTCGGGGGGGAATGGCCACCATAATCCCTTCTCTTTCATTTTCCTGTCAGGATTTTGAGCATGCACGTGACGTGATATTCGAGATGATAGGCCCAGGATTCAGATGATCGTTGGCCATGTGGGAGTCCAGTGACTTAATCACCACAGCATCTGTTGGCCCCTGGGTAATCACAGATTTTTAAAGAAGAAAAGTATTTTGTTGGCTGGCTAAAAGGTAGCATGGAGGTTAAGGAGTGGCACACTCATGTACTACCAACAGCTGTTTGAGTCGAAGACCTGGTGGCTTGCTTTCTCACTTTCCCTCGCTTCTAGTGAATGAAAAAGAAAATTAATTTTTAATATTTAATTAATTAATCCTTTAGGAAAAAAAACAAAGAAAAGTGTTTTGTTATGCATATTATAGTAGTCCCCTCTTGTGTGGTTTCAGTTATCTCTGGTACCATGTGTTTTGAGACCAAATTGACATAATTTTTATTACTGTACATTGTTATAAACATTCTATTTTATTATTAGTCATCTTACTATTTATTGTTAGCTTAATCTCTTTTTTTTTTAGGCTTATGCTATATGGCACATGTACTCTCCAGAGAGACAGAGGGAAAGTGAGGATAAATCACCCCCCAGGGGGAATGGCCGCACCACAATCCCTTCTCCTTCATTCTCTGCTCACAATTTTGCACACATGCATACTCGCACCCAGCATGATTTTGAAGCCTCCAGTCTGGGACTTGAACCACAGCATCAACAATGTGGGATGCAGCTGCCTTAACCTCCATGCTACCTGCAGGCCTTTAGTTTAATCTCTTACTGTGACTAGTTTCTAATTTGAACTTGATCACAGATATGTCTGTATAGGGAAACACATATTACAGTTGTCCTTCAGTATTCAAGGATTGGTTGCAGGCCCTCTCCATTCTCACCCTGCCCATATACCAGTATCTGCAGATGCTCAAATCCCTTATAAAAAATGGCATACAAGGGACCAGCAGGTGGCATGGTGGTTAAGGCACTGGATACTCCCATATGGCTGACCACGGTTCGAGTCCTCAACCTGGTGGCTTCCTTTCTCACTTTCCCTCTCTCTCTGGTCAAATTAAAAGAATGAGTGAATAAAATTATTTTAAAAAATGGCATATGATTTGCATATAAATGGCATGTATTCTCCCAGGTACTTTAAACCATCTCTAGATTACTGTAACACCTAATGTAACATTAATGCCACATAATTTATTCTACTGTACTGTATATTAAGGGTATTTCTGAGCCAGGGCCAACAGGTGGCATGGAGCTTAAGGTGGCTGGATCTCATACAGACTGAATTCCAGACCCAAAAGCTTGAAAAATCACACTGGGTATGTGTGTATGCATGAGAGAATGAAGAAAGGATTGTGGTGTGACTATCCCACATGTAGAGTGCTTTCCACTTTCCTCAGTTCTGTCTGTCTCTCTCTCAAGCGAATGCATAAACCTTCTGAAAAATTATTATTTTTAGAGGTTTGCTATAGGGTGTGTGTCCTTGCCAGAGAGACAAGAGAAAGACAGAGAGACAGAAACCACATTTGAGAGAATCACCCCCAGGGAGAGGGTCAAACTGCAATTCCTTTTCCTACATTCTCCTCTCAGGATTTTGGGCATGCACACACACTCCCCCTGCTTCTGTTTCTCACTGCCAGGTCCAGGACTCAAACCACAGTCGGTCATGTGGGAGGTTGGCACCTTAACCATTATGCCACCTGTTGGCCCCATGGGAAATTATCAGGTTGCCAGAAAAGTCATGACGTATTTTTTCCTTGTTTTTCTATGCAAAAATGCATCATTACATCTCTGACAAACCAGTATTTTTTAAAAAGATTTATTTTATTTATTCATTCATTTATTTTAATTTGATCAGAGAGAGACACAGAGAGAGAGAGAGAGAGACAAAGAGGGAAAGTGAGAAAGCAAGCCACCAGATCCGGGACTCAAATTGTAGTCGGCCATGTGGGAGTGTCCAGCACCTTAACTGCCGTACCACCTGCTGGTCCCCAACCCAGTATTTTTAAACAATATTTTGTTAAGTCATTGGTTGAACTCAAGGATGAGGAACCCGTGAATGTGCAGGGCCACTACATACATAAGAGTTTGATACTATCTGAGGTTTCAGGCATCTATGGGAGGGGGTGTCTTGAAATGTACAAATAAAGGGAAATCACCACTTTAGACTTGAAAAATAAATGTGAAACAACAAAGGGCAGATTGAATTACTGGCAGGTAAGTTTTGAGTTCATTGATAGAGCATCTTGAAGCAAATAAATGGCCCTATAAACCCAAACTGCGTTAACAGACTGCCTTAGACCGTCTCAAAGAGGACTCAGAAGGCTGGAGCCCACCCACCAGCAAGCCTGGGAGATTAACATCCTTACTACCCGGGTATCACGACTTCTGTCTGTGTAACCTCAGGCCAAGAGCCTCCACCTGACTGTGCTGTTCTTGAACCTGTAAACAGAAACTGTAAGAGCACCTCCTTCACACGTTTGTCACAAAGTCACCAAGCTATGGGATCAGCGGATGATGTAATGATTAAGTCGCTGGACTCACTTTATTGACCGTGATTGGAGTCCCTGACTGGCAGCTTAAAACTTAAACTTGGGTGGGAACCAGCAGTTAGCGTAATGGCTATGTCACTGGACTCCCACATAGTCGACCATGGTTCACATCCCGGACCCGGTGGCTTAAAACTCATGCCGGGCGCGTGTGCGTGAGTGCCCAAGATCCCGAGAGGAGAATGGAGGAGATGGGATTGCGGCGTGAACATCCCCCTCTGGGGGGTGATTTCTTGCTTTCTGTCTCTATGTCTCTGTCTGTCTGGTGAGCACACGCGCCCTATAGCAAGAAAACCTCTCAAAAAAAACCCAAAAACTTAAACTTGGGCATGTGTGCCTGCCCAGATCCCAAGAGGAGAATGAGAGAAGGGACTGTAGAGTGGCCATTCCCCCAGGGGGTGATTTCTCACCTTCTGTCTCTCTGTCTTCTGGCAAGCGTACCTCCCTATAGCAAAAACCTCTCTTAAAAAAAAAAAAAAAGAGTCACTGAGCCATTCCACGTAATGCTCTAGCAGGGTGACTTGACAGCATAAATGCTCAAGACTAGATGGGTCACACAGCAAGAGTAGACTGGGTTCTGCAGGCAGGCTGCTTGGTCCCAAATCCCAGACCAAACTTTTACTATGCCACTCTGGACAAGCTAACTCAAAGTCTCTGGTCCTGGTTTTATCACCTGTAAAATGGGGGTGGGTAGAGGCCGGCAGGTGGCATGGTTGTTAAGGCACTGGACTCCCACAAGGCTGACTGCAGTTCGAGTCCCAGACCTGGCAGCTTGCTTTCTCACTCCTCACACTCCATCTCTAGTCGAATTAAAAAAATAATAATAAAATAATTATTTTTTAAAATAGGGAAAGTAGCAGAACCATTGTGAGTACAAGCGCTAACACAGCCTTAAGGGAGAATACAGCACACAGGGAGCACTCAGGAAATACTAGCTGCCGTTATTTTTATTCTTTTGTCATCCTGAATCCTAATGGTAATGGCTTTCCTCTCAGAACAATTCTTATTACCTTGGATTCCAAGTTGCAAATATCTGCTGTTAGAACCCACTTCTGACAGTAGTCACATAGAGCACTTTAAGAATGCTCTCTGCACTTGGTCTGGATATGAAGGCTGGCTGGATTCGTACAACCATTTTACAAGATCTGGCACTACCCCCATTCTACAGAGAAGAACCGCAGTCACAAAAAGCTAGTAAGCAGACGCGCTAGCGCTGCCCCTGGGACTAGGTGGAGCACTGTAACTGGCACGGAACCATATTCACACTCAGCACTGAGCCACGGTCAGGGGCACGGACCCTGCAGCTGGCCTGACGGGGCAGAATGCCAGCCCCACCACTTCCGCTCCGTCACGCTGCCTCTCTACACCTTCATTTCTCCATCTGTCAAACAGGGACACTTACAGAACTACGTCACAGCGTTATTCTGAATAAATGAACAAAGAGTAATAAAGCGGAGAGAAGACTGCCAAGTGCACAGGAGGCCGTAGAAATGCTTGCCAAGTAACCAAAATAAAAACAATTTCTCCCCCAAATTCGGATTACCTGATAGGGTGTCAGACCATGTAAAGGACTAAGTGGTTTTGGCACTGGAGGCTGCAGCTGGCTAAGGTAACCTAACACTGTCAGATCACGAAGAATTTTGTTAAATGAGGCTCTGAAAAGCAAATCAGAACAAGGTAAGTAGAGATGTATCCTTACATATCCACCTCCCACTCAGAAACTGATGTGACATTCGTCTCTACATAAAAGATACATTCACAAACTGCTGGACTTTGTCCTATTAAGATATTCCCCACCTTAACATTGCAGACCCTGCCTAGCTATTCCGGTACTAGGAAAACAGGACGCTTAAAGGACTCTCCTTTAAGCCAAAACAACCCGAGCTGGAGGCCACTTCTGGATATTTCCATTGGGAAAATAGCTGATTCTCCTTTGTAATGAATAATTCTGATAGATTTGGAAAATTTCAGAACTTACTCCTTTTAAGGAATTAAAAACAGAATGCCTCATTCAATTCATGGAAACACAATTTATCAAATTAATATTTACCTATTTCTTGAAGTTTTCCTGAATATGAATTCTGACTGAATGCTCATCAATTTATATCCAGTAAACACAACTGGACTCTCCTTTTCTTCATCAGCAAATTCAAACATATCTGCAAATTCTGCAAGCTCGAAACCACGGTTTCTTACTTTGGACTTGCTTTTTGTATACAAGCCATCCATACCATCTACATAGTCTGGGGTCAGGCTCGGCATGCAGCTCCTTTTGGGAGAGCTAAGTTGAACGACATGGCTGGGGGATAGCAGTCGAATCAGATCAATGAGCAGCAGAAGCCCTTGTTCTGTAAGAAAGGAAACAACAGGAGCAAAAAGAATGGATGAGAAACAACGAAGCGCTCCAGTGACAAGCAAGCACATTTATTCCGGAACAGGGAAGCAATGTGTAAGACTGTCTTATAAACCAGGCTTCAGGCCAGCTAGGGGCACGGTGGTTAAGTCACTGCTGATGCAACATGGTAGGCTGTGCAATTTGACTCCACAGCCTGAAAGACACATCAGATGGGGGCCAACAGGTGGCATAGTGGAGGAAGTGGGAGACTCCCATGCGGCTAACTACAGTGTAAGGCCTGGACCCAGCAACTTGAAACTCACCCCAGCACATGTGCACACATACCCAAAATGCCAAGGGGAGACTGGAGTAGAAGGAATTGCGGTGTAACTTTCCGCCCAAGGGGTTATTTCTTGCTTTCTATCTCTGTCTCTCCAGTGAGTGCATGTGTCCCATAGTAAAAATCTCTCAAAAAAAAAGAAAAGAAAAGAAAAGAAAAACACATCAGTTACACATGTGCATGCATGCCCAATAAAGGAGAGAAGGGATTGTGGTATGGTCACCTCTCTTGTGGGGAGTGCTTTCTCACTTTTCCTCTCTGTCTCTCTCCAGAGACTGCATGTGCTCTACAGTAAAAACAAAAACTGAAAAACAGGATTCGTGCTGGTCCTGTAGCACTCTAGTTAAATGCTGTGCATTAGGAGTCGGACTCTATGTGGTTAATCACAATCCAAATTCTCACCCTGGAGATTCGAAAAACACACTGGGCATGTGTGCATTCCCAAGCACTACAGGAGGGAGAAATGGAGGAAAAGACTGTGGCGTGACCATGTATTGTGGTGCATGGTCTCTCTCCATTTCTAGCTAGCGCACGTGCCCTCTGACAACTGGGAAAATAAATAAATTAATAAACTAGCTTCAACACAAAGCCTGAGAGTAGACAGCTATTCACTCTGCCAACCTTTCCTTGTAGACATGCACACTCAGGCTTACCTGACACCCAGCCCATTGTGTTGATGATAAGAGGAGACTCTTTCTTGTAAGAGCTGAACACATATTTTATTATCTCAATATAGTTTTCATAGCTGCTTCTACAAGAAGTTTTCCCATAATATACCATTTTCTGTGGTTTCCTTTGGTGCATGAAAGGTGGTCCTGAGAAGATAAAGTAATCAATCTATGACTATGACAAAGGTACTGGTGGTTTTGTTTCAGCCATCATCACACTTGACAAAGATTCCCAAGAAGCTGGAGACCATCATACCAATAGGAGTAGCTGGAATCCCACTTTCAGAAATCTACGCTTCCAACTTACTGTAAGGCCATGCATGCCTTTACAAACAGTTCACCCCAACTATATCCTAATGTGGCTATTCATTCAACATTTATGAGCACCTACTACTTCTGGGGCTTCTTTCACATACTTGGTATACATTTGTGAACAAAACAGGCAAATCCTCCCCAGTCTAATGGGACGTGTATTATAATGAAAGGGCAATTCATAAGCTCACAGCATCACTGATTGGAATCTCACTGCTCTAGGTACTTCACACCTAGTTTCTAATTCTCATAAAAACATTAAAGGTGGGACCAGCAGTTAGCATAATGGCTATGTCGCTGGACTCCCACGTAGTCGACTATGGTTCGAGTCCTGGACCCGGTGGCTTAAACTCACGCCAGGTGCATGTGCGTGCGTGCCCAAGATTCCGAGAGGAGAATGGAGAAGGGATTGAGGCATGGCCATCGCCCCTGGGGGCTGAGTTCTCGCTTTCTGTCTCTCTGTCTCTCTCTGTCTGTGTGGCGAGCGCATGTGCCCTATAGCAAAAAACCTCTAAAAAAAAAAACAAAAAACAAAAAACAAAAACTAAAGGTGGGGCCAGCAGGTGGCATAGTGGTTATGACACTGGACTCTGGGGCCGACAAGTGGCATGGTGGTTAAGGTCCCCCGGCGCCAGCCACAGTCCAAGTCCTGGACCTGGCAGCTTTCTTCCTCTCTTTCTCTCTCTCTCTGGTGAGCACACATGCTCTATAACAAACTTAAAAAAATAATAAATGAATAAATATAAATTAAAAAAAAGAAAAAAAGACACTGGACTCCTACACGGCCAACCATGGTTTGAGTCCCGAACCTGACAGCTTATTTTCTTCTCACTTTCCACTTCTCTCTGTTTATTCCTCTGGTGAGAAAATAAAAAAAATAATAGTAATTTTTAGAAAAGCTATGAGAGGGGCCAGTAGGTATGGTGGTTGAGGGTGCTGAACTCCCACAGGGCTGACCACAGTTCAAGTCCTGGACCTGGTAGCTTGATCTCTCACTTTCCCTCTTTCACTCTCTCTCTCACTCTGTCCCTCTGTGATCAAATTAAAATGAAATAAAATTAAATAAATAGTAATTCTAAAAAAAAGAGGAAAGTTTATGAGGTAGGAGGTTTTCATTTTTATCACCAGTTTTATACAGAAATAAATTGAGAAAGATATGAACTGGAACAAGGTCAGACAGTTAGTAAAAACCAAGTCTGGCTTGGACTAAGGAGGCCCAGCTGCAGATTCACACTCCTAACCATGATACAGGGGGTATACACGGGAAGGAAGGGAGGGAGGGAGGAAGGAAGGAAGGGAGGAAGGAAGGAAGGAAGTTGAATAAATAGTTATTAAAAAACAAAACAAAACAAAAGCCCAGGAGAATGGAGAAGGAATTGTGGTGTGGCCACCCCCACACCCCGTGGGGTGGTCTCTCACTGTCTCCTCTCCAGTGAGAGCATGCACCCAAATGCAAAAACCTTCAAAAAAAAAAAAAAAAAAGATAAACAAATCGAATAAAACTGCAGGATAAAAAAGTAACATACATAATCCAGCAGGTAGTGTGGTGGTTATGCTGCTGGACTCCCAGGTAGACGACTGAGGTCCGAGTCCTGGACCCAGTGGCTTAAACTTATGCCAGGCACATGTGCATGTGTGCCCAAGATCCTAAGAGGAGAATAGAGAAGAAGGGATTGTGGGGTGGCCATCCACTCTGGGGGGTGATTTCTTGCTTTTTGTCTCTCTCTCTCTGTCTTTCCGGGGAGTGCAAGTGCCCTATAGCGAAAACCTCTCCAAATAAAAAAGAAAAATAGTGCTAGGAAAAACTAGTTATTCATATCTCACATAATATACAAAATCAACCTAAAACAGACTGAAGAGTTAAATATAAGACTTGAACGTGTAAACCTACTAGAAGAAAACACTGGGGAAAAGGTCTACAGCACTGACCTAAGCAATGACCTCTTGGGCATGACTTGAAAGCACAAGTAACAAAGGCAAACCTAGACAAATTGGATGACATCAATCTAAAATGCTTCTGCACAGCAGGACACAATTTGCAAAGTGAAGACACAATGCAAATGACGGGAGGAAATATTTGTAAACCAGGTATTTGATGAGAGGCTACTATGCAAAACATGTAAGAGCTCAAACAATTCAATAGCAGGAAAACCAAATAACCCAATTTAAAAATGGACAAAAGAGGCCAGTCAGTGGCACAGTGGTTAAAGCAGCTGGACCTCACATGGCTGGATGTGTAGTTCAAGTCCTAAACCCAGTGGCTTAAAGAATATGCTGGGCACATGCCCAAAATCCTATAGCAGATTTAAAAAAAAGGGGGGGGGGAACACATTTGAACCAACTTCAAAACTTGCCAAAAATCTAGATTAATTAAAATAGCATGTTAACCGGTATTGGAACAGATATATGGACCAAAGGAAGAGATACAGAGCCCTGAAATAAAGACATGCATATACAAATGGTTTTTGAGAAGGGTGCCAAAACTACTCTGTGGAGAAAGGAGGTTTTTCAGCAAATGGTGCTAGGAAGAATAAAGTTTCTCATACCCTATACAAACACGAATTCAACATGGATCAAAGATCTATATTTTTGGGGCTAGTAGGTAGCATGGTGGTTAAGAGTGCTGGATTCCCATATGGGCTGACTGCAGTTCAAGCCCTAGACCTGGCAGCTTGCTTTCTCACTTTCCTTCACTCTCTCTTTGTCCCTCTGTGGTTAAATCAAAATAAATATATAAATAAAGTTAGATAAAATAACTTTAAAAAAAAAAATCTAAAATTTTGGGGTCCAGCAGGTGGCGTAGTGGTTAAGGTGCTGGACACTCTCACATGACTGACCAGGTTCAAGTCCTGGACCAAGTAGCTTGCTTTCTCACTTTCCCTCTCTCGTTCTGTGTGTGTGTGTGTGTGTCTCTCTCTTGTCAAATTAAAATAAATGAATGGATAAATAAAATTAAATAAAGTAAATCCTTAGGAAAAAAAACTAAAATTTTGGGACCAGCAGTTAATGTAAAGGCTATGTTGCTGGACTCCCACGTAGTCGACCACGGTTCGAGTCCTGGACCTGGTGGCTTAAATTCATGCTGGGCACATGGGCGTGTGTGCCCAAGATCATGAGAGGAGAATGGAGGAGAAGACATTGTGACGTGGCCATCCCCCAGGGGGCTGATTTCTCGCTTTCTGTCTCTCTCTCTCTCTCTTTCTGACAAGAGGACCTGGCAGCAAAACCTCTCAAAAAAAAAAAAACAAACAAACAAACAAAAAAAACCCTAACACTTTTAAAAAGAATGATTTATTTGATTCCATTCGTTATTACTATGTTTTTAATTTTGGCTAGACAGACACAGGGAGCAAGAGAGAAAAGGAAAGCGAGTAAGCAAACTGTCAGGTCCAGGACTCAAACTGTGGCCAGCCATGTGAGAATCCAGCACCTTTAACCACTACGCAACCTGCAGGCCTCCAAAAATCTAAATTTAAGAGGTAAAACTATAATCCTCTCAGAAGAAAACATTAGAGTACCAGTCCCACTGTGCAACAGTTAGGAAAGCTAGCTCCCACGTGGCTGGCCATGCATTAAATCCTGGTCCAGGGGTCTTGAGACATGTATACGTGCACACACCCAAAACCCTGAGAGTATGCAGAAGGAATGGAGGCATGACCATGCCCTATCAGGGGAGGGCTTTCTCCCTCGTTCTGTCTTTCTCTGGTGAATGCATATGCTCTTTTGCAATTAAAAAAAAAAGAGAGAGAGAAAATCTTCATGACACTGGATTTGACAAATGACACCAAAGGAGAGGTGACACCCCCCCCAAAAAAAAAACAAAACAAAGCAAAACAAAAAAACTGGGACTTCACCAAAATTAAAAAACTTGTTTGGCACAGCAAGTGATATAAGTGGCATGGTGATGAAGGTGCTAGATCCCACGTGGCTGACTGCATTTCAAGTCCAGGAACTGGGAGGATGAATACCACACCAGGTATATGTAAGTGCATACTCTGAGAGAACAGAGAAAAGACTGTGGTGTGGCCATGCCCCTGGGATGTGATTTCTCACTTTCCCCCTCTCTGACTCTTCCCAGTGAGTACACGCACCCTCTGGCAAAAATCTAAAAAAAGAAAATTAGTAACTTCTTGGCCTAATGATAAGCCATGTAGACTGGCTGATTACAGTTCAATCCCAGCCCTTGCAGCTTGAAAAACATGCACAAGACTAGCAGATGGCCTACTGGTTAGGTCGCAGGACTCCCATGTAGTTGGCTGCAGTTCGAGCCCCGGACCGGGTGGCTTGAAACTCATACCAGGTGCATGTGCATGTGTACCCAAAATCCTAAAAGGAGAATGGAAAAGGGACTCCTGTGTGGCCATCCCTACTGGGGGAGGGGGCGGGGGGGATGACTCACTTTATCTCTCTCTCTCTGGCAAGTATATATACTCTATAGCAAAAAACTCTCTCCAAAAAATGAAAAACATATGCTGGGCTTGTGTGTGCACGTGCCCAAAATTCCAAGAGGATAAAGATAAGGAGAAGAAAGGACTGCAACATGACTGCATCCCTCTGGGAGGCATTTTCTCCCTCTCTCCAACTCTCTTTTTGGCAAGCAAATGTGCCCTATGGCAATTAAAAGTTAAGAACTATCAAGGCTTGGGACCAGCAGTTAGCGTAATGGCTATGTCGCTGGACTCCCATGCAGTCGACCACAGTTTGAGTCCCGGGCCTGGTGGCTTAAACTCACAACGGGTGCATGTGCGTGCGTGCCCAAGATCCCGAGAAGAGAATGGAGGAGAAGGGATTGCGGCGTGGTCATCCCCCCTGGGGGGTGGTTTCTTGCTTTCTCT